GTGGTCGTGGTCGTGGTCGTGGTCGTGGTCGTCGTGGTCGTGGTCGTGGTCTTCCTATACACCGATCTTTTTTGTGCCAGTTGAGTTTTTGATGCGCGGGAACGTCCATTGTAAACTGGATGTCAGGAAATGTGGGAGCAGAACATTTCAAAATCCTTGGATAATTCCACGCTGTGCCTCTGTTATTAAGTCTAACAACGGCGATCCAAATGGCGTCCCCATGACACGCTCATGCATTGTTCCCTCAAAAGTGGGGTATGTCTTGAGAAAGAATTCTAGGGTTTGAGCGAGATTCCCCCGCTTCATCGTCTCACCTATCTTTTAGTGGTTGTCGAGCAGTTAGCTGGCTAATTCCCCTGACAGCTCCTGCGGGACCGGAATAAAGAGATTGGCGACGTCAAATGCACCTTGACCTCGTCTGCGGTGAGTGGTATGCCCGTGAACCGTCTCAGGAACTGAGCGGTCGAACAGACCGGTGTAACCGCGTCCCAGGTGAGAGACCTCAGATGTCCGAATAGCCAGTTAGCCAGAGTATGTGTTGTTGCGCCGCGCAAAGACACAATTGTCCGGAGGGGAACGTGGGCTTTGTGTGCTTTGGGTAGTCCGTAGGACTTTGCTGCAGCCGTATCTGTCGGTATACCCGCAAGACGTACTTTGTTTGCCTGGACGCCGGTGAGTGTTTTATCCAGCTGCCACAAACAACAGCCACCCTCCCTCCCCCCCCCCCGGCCACAGCGACTACAGAGATGATCCCTGTGCGAAGGGGAGCGATGAGCAAAAGGCCGAAACACCACCTCCACCCAGCGGAAGGCATTAAAATTAACGACTCCCACCCCTTCGTCCCGCCTGCTGTGTGGACCGTTAAGATGAGCCGCTTCACTAACGCAGTGCTAAAATTAACGCCAGGCGCAACACGATATTCACCTCCTACGACGACAGTCTGTCTGATTTGGAAACGTTAAGGCATTATAATTATGGTTCCCAATACCGTCTTTTCCTTTCATTTATGTCCGAGGACGTACATATCCGCTTCTGTTATATGTATGACTGAGTTGCACCGTATTCCCGGCATGCGTATTAGCTAAACGTTCTGAAAAATGTTTCGTTGATATTCTGTCTTTGTATGACGCAGCTGAGATTGGTTCGGCTCCTCAGCGATCCTTATGCTCCTATGCTGCTCGGAAAATACTGACTGGTTTGTTAACCCGCTTCTAAAAATTGAAAGCAATCGCTATGTGGCTCTGTTTTTACGAAAATTAGCATTGGTTTATGTGTATTCCTATATAATTTTCTCTATAATTTATTTTAGATATCGCTCAAGTCTGCTACCCCTACAAACCCATTTGCGCACAAGTCAACCATGTTATGCGGCGCACGATGGGCATCGTCGTTCGCAATGGTGCACGCGATACGTCATTGGGCACACTTATCTGTAATCTTTTCTACCTCAGCTACACATTCAAATTGTCCTTACCAGATATATCCCTCTGTTTTCTTTCATCGAACGACAGTCTCTAGACTGTGTCAATGCCCGTCCTACCGTAGGTGAATTAAGGTGAACCGTTCCTGGACGAATTTTCACCTCCGTCGTGTATGCATATCAAGGCGTGCAAAATCGTTTACACCGCAAAAGGAGGCCGTGGATCCCTCCGTTGCAGTTATTGAGACCTCTCATGTGAGATTTAGACTGACTGTTATAAGAAGAGGAGATCGCTGGAACAAGGGCTTTATTCGCCTGACGTTTCGGATCCTCACTTGAACCCATCGTCACAGGCAGTGGCAGAAAGGTGTGACTCGTGCACAGGAAGTCGCAGTATTTATAGGGTGCAGTCGTTATGCCACCGCACACCTATGCCAATCGACCGCTCTCCCCTTAATCGAAAATTGTTGCCCGCTGGAGCGTTAATTGCTTGGTGGCCGGCATGCAAGTTGTTAATTGCTGAAGTCTCATCAACCATGTTTGATGCTGACGTGATGATGGCCCGGCCATCTGGCTCACCGGCCTGCGCGCTCTCCGAGTGGTCAGTTACTTTGGCCAACCTATACCTCAGCACGGAATACGGAGTGGGAGTGTCGTTGCACATGTTGATAGACTGAGGTCCCGTGAACCATGACTCAAGCAACTCGCGACTCACGCGATTATCCCCTCTCGCGAGAATTTCAGCCTCATTGAACTTTAATATGTGGCCGGGTCTCGTCGAATGCGCCGTGACCTGAGAGTTGGCGTCACTTCTCCGCACCGCTGCCGCGTGTTCGGCAATTCGCGTCCGGAGCAGTCTTCCAATTTCTCCTATGTAGTTGCTTTGTCCGCAACTGCAAAAAAATCCGGTAAACGTCTCCATGTGTTTCTTGCCGTGGCAGTGGGTTTTTGGCCCCATCACCCGACGCCTCATGATGGCCTCCGGACCGTGGGCAATTAAAACCCTAAGTAGTGCGAGAAGACGACTAACGGCCTCAGATACGTTCGTGATGTACGGGATTGCTCGCCAGAATTTGGGATCGGTATGATTTTGCGCATGCACCGGTTAACAAAGTTGCGCGGGTAACCATTTCCTCTGAAAACCCGTCGAAAATATTGAATTTCGGCAACCCTGTCTTCCGTTTCAATGCAGTGCGTCTCAACACGCCGATATCGCGTTCTTATGCAACTGCGTTTGTGGCTAGCTGGGTGGTTGCTGTTATCTCACACGTGGAGTTTTCATTTCTCTGTGTGTGTGTGGGGGGGGAGGCAAATGCAGTTGTGCCCCTTTAGTGGGTCACACGGGACTTGCGCTGAGCCAATGCGGAGGCCGGATCAGGGTCCAGAAGGTGTTGTTGGGCTGCGTGTTCATGACGGATGCCATATGTGGGCTTTGGCGGCACACCTAGGCGCCGGCTCACGCCGCGCCTCCCGTCTGAGCCCAATCCCGCCCCCAGTCTTTTTACCTATATCATGACATCGAGACTAAAGCGGAAGCTAGGAGTGATTGTAATGGTTGTTGTTGAAGTCCAGTACTTGCATCGTATTTGTCGCTTTCCTGAACACTTTGGTCTTTAGTCCACCACAATCCTTGCGGCATACCAGGACATCCAGAAAGGCCAGCTGGTTGTTCTCTTCCTCTTCCATCGTAAATTGTATGTCCGGGAAGACCGCATTCAGACGTTCCTTCGTATACGATGAAACGGAGAATCGTCTTGGACGCGCCCAAGTCCTTCAGCTGCTGAAGTTCTGTCTCAGGACGTACTTCACGTTCGACGGGACAATCTACGAACAGGTGAAGGGCACACTAATGGGTTCGCCGATTTCGGGGCTCATCGCCGAGGCGGTCCTGCAACGGTTAGAGTCGCTGGTCTTCCAATACCACAAACCGAAGTTCTGGGCCCGGTATGTGGATGATACCTTCGTCGTTATCGACTGGGATCAACTGCTGACATTCAAGGAACGTCTGGATGCGGTCTTCCCGGACATACAATTTACGATGGAGGAGGAAGAGAACAACCAGCTGGCCTTCCTGGATGTCCTTGTATGCCGCAAGGATTGTGGTGGACTAAAGACCAAAGTGTTCAGGAAAGCGACAAATACTATGCAAGTACTGAACTTCAACAGTAACCACCCAATCAGTCACAAACGCAGTTGTGTAAGGACGCTCTATCGGTGTGTCGAAACGCATTACAGTGAGCCGGAAGACAAGATTGCCGAACTACAATACCTCCGACAGGTCATCAAAGCCAATGGCTACCCGCGCAACTTTGTCAACCGGTGCATACGCAAAATGGACGAAAGGCCTAACCGTACGAACATCAAAGTTTGGCGAGCGCTTTCATATGTCAAGAACGTTTCGGAAGCTGTCGGCCGCCTTCTCGCACCACTTGGGGTTGGAGTGGCACACAGGCCGGAGGCAACCATCAGGCATCAGTTGATGAAACCAAAAGACCCACTGCCACGGCTAGAAATGTCTGGAGTCGTTTATCGGATCTGGTGCAGTTGTGGACAAAACAACTACGTCGGAGAAACCAGAAGACAGCTCCGAACGCGAATGGCCGAACACGCTGCAGCGGTGCGCAGAAATAACGCTAGCTTTCAAGTTGCGGCTCATACGACGGGTTCCGGCCACACATTCAAATTTGACGAGACCGAAATTTTCGCAAGAGGTGACAACCGCGTGAGCCGGGGGCTGCTTGAGTCATTGTTTACTGGCCGCCAGTCTATCAACAAGTGCAATGATCTTCCCATTCAATACAGCGTACTGAGACTTCGTCTAGGCGGAGTAATTGGCCACGCGGGGAGCGCACTGGTGAACACTCTTCCCAACATCCGGGTCAGCGCGTCAGATGGTCGAGCAATCATCACACCAACATCCAACGTACGTGATGAAATTGCAGCAATTAACTACGCGAATGTCGGCCATCACGCCACGTGCAACGATCCCTGATGAAGGGGGGGGGGGGGAGCCGTGAATATTCATAGGTATGCGGTAGCATGGCTAGTGAATCCTATAAATACTGCAGCCCTTATGCATGAACCACCCTTATCTGCTTATGTCTCTGGTGATGGATTCGAGCAGGAATCCGAAACGTCAGGCTAATAAAGCTCTTGTCCCAGCGATCGTATCTTCTTCTTCAAGACCGCTTCCTGGGACTCGTCGCTTAGCTTCTATCGAACATCATCATTCGCGATAGTTGAAGTGACATGATCTGACATTCAAATCAATAGGCCTATTGATGCTTGCTTCATCTGAGTGCATTTCCTCCTGGGACTCACGGTTTTTCCTTGTTGAGCTGACGCCAACAATACGAGCGTTCTCCCGCGCACACTTTCGCCCAGGGTTCAGTGTGTGAATGGCCACTTGGGATATATTGTCACGTCGCCTCGTTTATACGGAGCGGAGGCAGATTTTCTAGTTTGTCCACAATAGTCTACATCACAGCTGATACATTGAATCTTGCAGACAGCTTCCTTTCCATCGAAATAGCAAACCTGTCCATAGCGAGTGTCAGCATCTGGCTGCATAAGATAATTGCAGGGTTGTGCGCCACCCAAGTCTGGTGGATTTCCGGTTTGCTTTCAACTAGTTTACATGCATTTTATTATAAAGGCGACGTCTGTTTAAAAAAAAATTAGGCGTAACTCAGCAAATATAATGGATAATTTGGTCAAAAACCATGTGATTTGATGGAATAACTGCAATAGACCCATTCTGAAAACTAGTAATTTAATGTTGTATAGCATTTTCCCCATCATAATTTAAAATTAATTAAAATAAGAAGCTCCAATGACGTCTTTTTTCAACTTCCCTGATGATGTATGCCAGTGTTCGTCCAGTCAGGTTAGGTGATAAGTCCTTCAGCAGCCGTACCATCGTTGGAACAAATGTCTGAGGTTTTAGATAGAGCTTACGCTGGTAGCCATACGAAACGGCTGCGATTGTTATATATGTGTGTGCTATTTCATGAAATGTTGGCCGGATCTCTGAAGTTTGTTTTCAATTTCTAAAGATTACTTTTGTAAGGTCGTAAAGTTAGTCATCATGTCACGTAACATTAAGATATTCATCTTAGCAACCGATTTCATAAATTATCTTTCGTATGGTGTAACTAATTATGTAGCATGAATTTCAGCAGCTGATTCTCAAAGCCCTCAGGAATTCAAACATATTTTACTGAAAGCATGCACAAAAATATTCTCTCTTCTGCCTACTTCCTAGCAAATTATGCCTTTTTCGAATCACGCACTTAGGAAAAGAACATCTTTTGATTTTAAACCGAATCATTTTGAACCTGACCCACGATCACACTTGCATTCAGGGTTTATGATCTACAAGCTGTGTACTTTTCGCGCAAAGAAAAGCATACATTCGCATATGTCACTATAAAGAGAATACATAGGGCTCATCATATTTTGCAGTGGACGTGGATAATGTGGTTCGCTTTATAAGTGGCATTTATAAATATGTTGATGCGACGCTGTATGGTTTGACACTTCATGGTCTCAAAAAACGTCATAATAAGAGACTTTTTAAAACCGAAGGATACTGTTTATTAAAGTGTGGAATTTAAAGAAGACTCGATTTTCTATCAAATCAGTAAAAGAAAGAATGTTTTGTGCATGTTTCCCATAAAATATGTTTGAATTTAAAAGGGCGGCGAAAATTAATGGGAAGATTCATGTTAATTAAGTAGTTATTTTTTACGGAATGTAGTTTACGCAGGCGGTCGAAAAGTAATTCATTCGAAAGTCAGGATCCCGACGTAAATGAACTATGTTGTTATTATGCCATATGATAATTAGCAGTACAACCCTACTTAGGTAGCTTTTTCGAATTGAAATCGCATTTCGGAATTCCAGTTAACATTGCCTGAGACTGCACATCGACCGTATGTATATACCTCATCCCAATCTCTTCCTGAGGTCTTGAATTTGTCGTGTGCAAAAGCAAAGGAAACTATTCGTTGCGCACATAAACTTCGCTTGACAATTTAGATAGAATGCAAAACTTGCTTTTAAGCTGTAGTTACAATAATAGTATTTGGATCTTACACAAAATAAGAGCTCGGAGACAATTGAATCCTACCGTAGGTTTTTCCTAAATGTATGCCACACACACTTTCTCGCAGACTGATTTTCCCCCAAGTTGTTTTTATTGGGAAAAGGTGTTCATTTGTAATATTTGACACATGTTTATTTTTAAAACCCTCTTGCTGAAGGTGTGCATTCAGTTTGCAGCCAATTACCTCGTTTTAACGCGCAGTTTTGGTCCGCGTAAGTCATCCGACCGAACATCCCCCGCGCCCATCGGACAAAGAATTGCATCTACCTCTGCGGACTTCCGCTTCGTTGCGGAACCTGCATTTTACCAGAAACTTACATTTTTTGCGAAAATTTCAATATTACGCTTGAAAAGTCAAACTGGCAAACACCTGTTTCCTATAATTCATTGACTGTGATGTATGTTCTTGCACATCTTATAAATAGGGATCACCAAGTTAGCGCCAAATAAGTTTTTCAACTTGTCCACCGATTGCCAGAAAATTACTCCAAAGGTCTTCGCAAACGGCGCTGCCAACAGACGGGGCAGGGGCTATTCGTAAGAAGTTGGTGCCAACGCTCCATCGCCCGTGGCCAACGCCGACTCCAGGTGGCGACCGCATGCCACCCCAACTCCTTAATCGCGCTAACCGCACTCGGCATGTTTAACCCCGACCCCTCCTCCTCTCCCCAAGCTCCAATAACCACAACACGCTGACCGCGTGATGTCAGTGGCATGGAAAGAGTAGTGTGAGTAATTCCCTGGGAAGCTTATAGACCCTACCCAGGACTAATATCTTCATTCTCTTCTTTATTGTACTGACCTGATTATGAACTGTTCAAAATACATATTTGTCAGTTTGGCTTTTCAAACGTACATTTAGCGACCGAGTGGACAGTCTGGTCGCCTAAGCCAATCAAACTCCCTGATTGCACATCGCTGTTATGTAGTTTTCTCTGCGAACAGCGACAGCCGTCGTCAACTGACACCTTGGGCACTCAACGCTGAACCATAATTGATTGAAGGCAAAAAAGAGCCTCCCGCACGCCACAGAACTCGGACTGATGGCGCCATCACGAAATACTGCGAAATCGCAGACAAAAAGAACAAACATTTTCGGGGATCGCGTCTATTGTCCTTAATAGCTATTTCTAAGAACATTTTAAACTCTGGACAAGCACCATCACGGGGGTTCTGAAATGTCTCTCAGCATAGTGATTAAACTCGAGCTTTTCGAGCGAGACAACAAATTAACCTCCTTGATCGGTTAGTTGTTAATAAACATTATTTTAAGGCAGAACAAATCAAACCATCTAAAGTAGCTACTGCCAGCACTGAGGTGTGAGTGTAATTTTCCACATCGTTTTTACAAAAACTCTTGCTGAATTACTCCTCGCAGTTTTCCTTTCATAAGATGAAAATGCTGACTTGCATTTTTTAACGCATAACTGACAATCTCGCGCGCTGCAGAAGGTTATATGTCAGACTTGGGGCATATTTAGTGTTTGCTATCGGCCCTCTTGTCAAAGCTCAGTTTGCTGACAATGCGAACTTCCCACTGAATCCAGATCCCTGTATGCCGGGGCAACAAACACACGAACTAATGGTAATTAACTGAGGCATTTGTTCTCGACATCGCAATGCAGCGCTGTATTGCAAGAAGAACCACGCAGTCTTTTCTAAATGCTGAAAGATTCATCGGTGTTCAGTAGCGCTTTCCTTGAAGTTATAACCCGTGTCCGAGCGGTGTCGAAAGGCAGTATGTTCAACAATAGAAGACGTTCATCCATTAGAAGATCAATTGAATGAATTCGTTGCTAGCCGACTAAATGCCTGTCCTCTATAGTCTGCCGTTCGCCTGCCGTGCGCTAGGCGCCGATGGATTACGCAGGGGAGTTTTATTAATTCAGCCGGTATTTCTTTAATTAAGTTCCTAATTTTGGTTTAAACGATTAGATCTCATAGGCTTCCCTCGTTTATTTTATGAATCTGATTCCGAAATTGTATCCATATTTTCGTATTTTTTTAAGCCACCACGTAAACAAATAACGTTTGGACATCCTGTGGGGTGGTGTTGACAACTTAGGAATTCTCAGTGCTCTTTGCGTAATTTTTAAGTCTCCTTCTGGTTTAAGTTATTAAAACTTTATTCCGAAGCAGGATACAGTCAACTTCTGGTCCCATAGTTGATAATATTGTTACTTATTGCTTTCACTTCCTTCAAGTTGCCTCTTTAAAGGAGGAACTCAAGACTTTCAGAATGAGATTTTGTCTGACCGAATTCCTTAAAACACCTTTCAGGCTAATGTGGCCAGACTCTTCATGCTGGGAGGAAACTAAACTAGTACATTTAACCTCTCGCATTACTCAGATGTCTAAGTTTGTTTTTTTCTGATTATCTGCAGTTTCTTTTCTCTTTTAGCCTCACGGTTTCTTAGGTTTTCGCCTCCGAACTCCCCTTCTCTCAGGCAACAACGCGCTTCTGTCATGGATGGCCTAGGTCTCACGCGTTCTCTACCAGATCTTCATACCAGCGCGTATTGTTAGAGACTAAAGATTTCAAATTCCAAAAATTACGAGGTGTTTTCATTCCCTTGTGGCTAAAATGAATCACTTTGAAGGGTCAAGTTGGCAAACAAGTGTTTTCGGCAATTTCTCATCAGCATCATATAGTTGTAGAGAAAGTAAAAATATGAGAAGTTGACGGAGTTAGCGAAGTTGACGCTATGTTGTCTGAAGAGGCGCTCTGTCTTTCTTTGCCAACGCCGACCCCAGGTGATCACTGCACGCCGCTACGACCTCCTGATGGCAGTACTGCGTGCTCCGTGTACCCAATTTACAAACATCACTCGCAGCCAATGTCACCCTTACCCCCCCCCCTTTGCCTTAATGATCATAACACGCCG